GGAGCTCCTGCACAAGATTCACGGTAACATCGGCATCCAAAGCCGCAGAGATTGACAGACTCGAACATGTTGTGGACCGTCAACGCAGTCTGGGAAAGCTCGACAACCTCCTATATGAGCTGGACTCAATGAACTCACAAAAGGAAGAGAAATCAGTGAATAAGGCTGCAGAGGAGTCCGATAAAGTGAGAAACGGCCGTGCAAGACCTCACAGTGATGATACTCTTGTTGAGGTTCCCGAGTCAGTTAATGGTGATGATGATGATTTTGTGGACCTTGGTGTGGAAAAGTTGCGGGTACAGGAGAACAGAATATCCGGGTCAACTACTCCCGAGACTGGCGATCACACCTCACAGCCCGCATCAGGGAAGGCGATTCCTTCGATCACACTCGGTAACTCACCCAAGATCGAGTACCCTCCTCAGAGCCCGGCCCAGTCTCAGTTCGTTGCCGATAAGTTGGAGTCCGTACAGCAAGAGCTTATTGATCTCAAAGTCGAACACGAAACAACTATCAACGAACTTGACCAAATGTCTGCCAACTATGAGGCAGCGCTCCGTGATCTCGCCGCTCTTCAGGATCGTCTCGATGAGGCCCGACACCAGGCTGCCCCTTCGCGGGGCACCTCGCCTTCACCATCGCCAAACCTGCGACCCACCTCTTTTTTAGTAGGCGCGAGGGTGAGCGATTTAAAGGCCGAGGACCAAGGCTCATCCTCGCTTTCGCTATCTTCGGAATTATCCTTGGTTGGGGACTCGCCTATCTCCCCAGTGAGTATCGACAGCGAAGCGCAGCGCATTAAAGAAGAATTGGAGATGCAAAGGAAGATCAGCTATGAGAGAGAGGAGGCTTTGGCTACAGAGTTGGAGAGCGTCAAGATCCAAATGGAAGATGCCCTCAAAGTACAGGAAGAGGAACACGATCTCCTTCACTTGCAGCTGAAGCAGTCACTGGATCAGCTTTCTGAACTCCGACACAGAGAGAGGGTTTCCGGCGTCATCTCACCGTCTGGTACCCATATTCTCCGACGAAAATCTAGTCAGAGCTTGGCTGTTCTAGACCGTGCTCGTCGCTCTTTCGACAATCTTCATAGGATTGCAGTTGAGAATTTCAAGGATCATCCGGACATATTGGAGAACTTCGAACTCAACATTGATGCCGCCGTCAAGGAGCTTACAGTCCGCTCAGATCGTATTTCAGAATTGGAGACTGAGATCTCGTCGTTGAGGAAGGAGATGGACGCCAAGTCCGCTATCATCAACGGGTTGGCCAGAGAACGATCTAGTATATCTACTTCGCCAATGGATATTTCAGTTGTTGCAGTCATGGAACGGCGCATCGAGGAGACACAGGCTCAGCTCAATAGCACACGGGAGCTACTATCGATCCGTGAGAGCGATTTAGCCATCGCTCATCGCGAATTGTCGGCACAGTCAGGAGAATCAACCAGTGATGTGGAGGATCTTCTCATCGAGTTAACTAAAGAGAAGACCTTGAGTGCTGAGAAGTCACAACGGATATCCGACCTTCAGAGAGAAATTGTGGACACACGACAAAACCATGACGCAGCCCTCGAGACAATGGATCGCTCTAAGAAAGCTCTTGCTACTGCCGTCCATGAACTTGAGAGTGAGTTGGCCAGAAACAAGGAGGTTGTCGAGGCCGAAAGGGCTCTCAAGGTCACAGTCGAAGAGGAGAAGATTCAACATCAGGAACGTGTTGAGATGCTTGAACATATTGTTGCCGAGAACAAGACTACTATTGACTCTCAGCTCGCACGACTTGCCGAACTTGAGAAGACCCATGCGGCCACTCGTGAACAGATCGATAACCAGCTCTCCCAAACTTCAAACCCCTCTGAATCGACTGTTGAGGAGGTCCGGAAGCAACAGGTGTTGGCAAAAGAGCTTGAACATGCCATTGCGCAGAATAGAGCGGTTATTGAGGACCAGCAGGCCCGTCTTGCCAACCTCGAAGCACCTTACCAAGATGCCATTGATCAGGTCGAGGCTCTCCGGCGGAAGGAAGAGGCGGCTGTTCTTGCGCTCAACGAAGCGGAAACACGCGCATCCGAGAAAATTGCCACTATTAATGCTAAGCACGAGGAACTTGTTCAGACCATTCGAGCTAAGCTTGAGGAGAGCAAGAGCGCTATTCTGGAACATGTTGCCAATCTTACCAGACTCCAGGTAACCCATGCTGAGGCTAAGTCACTCATTGTAACCCTTGAGGGCGATAAGTCAAAGGCACAGGAGGAGGCTGCTCGACACGCTACTACCATCAAGGTTCTTGAAACTGAAGTGGAAGGGAGCGAGGCTACGATCAAGAAACATCTCGACACGATCTCAGAGCTTCAGGAGCTTCACAAGCAGGCCGACGAGGAAATTGAGAAGTTGTCCAAGAAGGAGGCTAAGCACGCTAAGCTACTTGAGGACCTTGAGCAGCAACTTACATTCACCTTCGACCAGGGCCAGGAGAATGCGACGAAGTTGGCTGATGTCACCGCCGAATATGAGCGTCTCCAGCAGGAGAAAAAGGCTTTGGTTGCGGAATCTACGGCAAAGAATGCGGAGTCTCAACAACTTATTGAGAGCTTGACCGATGAGGTTGCAAGTCTTCAGGTGAGTCAATTTGGTACAGGAATACGGAATTATAGAATGGCTAACTGTGATATCAGACGAAACTTGCAGAAGTTCAGATGGAGCTCCAAGGGTTGGGCGGAGCACGGGCTCAACGATCCAATTCGACCTCTTCCAACGGCAATCTCCGGAAGAGTACTTCCACAACCTCACTACCATCTCCGCCTCCGGCAATTCCCCTTCCTCCCCTGCCAAGTAATGCAGCTTCGCCCCTTGCTAGCCCGGTTCAACCCCCGCCTACACCAAGCATGTCCAGGCACCCCAGCAAAGACTATGTCGTTGCCCATATGGAGGACCAGGAGGCGCGGATCAAGACGCTCGAGAAGCAGCTTCAGGCAGAGAAGGCTCTAACAATAACGCTCGAGGAGGCACTTACTGATTGCGAGAACAAGATGAAGTCGCTAAGGTCAGACCGCGACAGTTTCCAGGCCAAGGCCTCCCAGGTCCAACAGGAGCTCGACCGAGCCCGGAACGAATCACAAACAAGTAGGTACTCCATGCAGGCCGTCGAAGAGGAGCGACTCGCGCGGAAGAAGGCCGAGCTGGCCCGGGAGCAGCTGGAAGTTAGGATGCGTGATATAGCGAAGAAAAACAAGCGATCGTTTGCCTGCTTTTAGCTTTCATCTCTTTCTTGATCTTTCCAATAAACTCCTGTATTGTCATTTCTCACCAAACTGATTTCAAAAATTTCTCATTCGTGAGAACTTCTCCCTCATCTTCACTAGCTAGTCAAAATATCCGTCTTTTCTTTCGTGTTTCTTACTTTTCCTGCCTTTATATACCCCTTCTTCCTATTTTTATTTCTATCTCTGACGTTTTTGTCAATTTCTTATTATACCTCTGGGTTTATGGGTGGATGAAAGTGATTTTGACTTTGATGACTTGCTCTTTATTTGTGTTTCCTCTTCCCTTTTGGCGGGTGAATACCAATTTCTTTCGCTCTCATTTTTTCTTCTTTTTTCTGCTATATAAAAAGCCATCGTTTTTTCTTCTCTTCAACACTATTCTGGATGGATGGGTGGATGGACGGGACGAACAAACGTTCATACCTTGTAGGTGTTTGCGTTTTTTTTCCCCCTCATGATATTTTCATTTTCATATCGTTTACTTGCACTGGTCTGCTCCCTCTTCTCTTGTACCTGTGAAGGGAAGAAAGAGAGGAAAGGCAGGGGGGTACTTCGGTTTTTCTTTTCTTTTTCAATTTATTATACCTTAACTTTTACTATTTCTTTGTTTTATATTCACACAAGACTTTTTCCTTCCCCCCCCTCCACATGGCTATATACCGATACCCATACATCTATCTATCTAGCTATTTATTTCATCTGCTTGTATGCGTATCTCTGCTTTTTCTTTTTCTTTTTTTCGGTTGTCACTGGTGGCTGGTGTTGGATTCGTCGGGGTTTCGGGGATGTGCGTGGAATTTAACCTACCTATTATTTATTTGAGACCGTCCACATCATACCGTAATATTATCTTATCTTACCCGTGACCAAAACCTTTAAGTCGTGCCAGGATAATTTCTGTCGCCGCCGCCCAAACTTTCCCCAAGCCATCTTATCAACTACGAACCAGCAACAAGAAATCAAACATGTCCGCCGAAAAATCCTTCTTCGAACGTACGCCCCCCCCCCCCCGTACCACCCATCCAGGATAGGAGTACTGTACTATGCTAACCTGAATAGAACAACGTGACCAACTAATCAGTGAAATCGCACTCTCGCTCGAACACGTCCTTATGAACATGAACCTGCTCAATAGAAGTCTTGAAGGCGTCGTTGCTGTATCCTCCCCCTACCCTACCCCTATCTTCAGCTTTTTTTGGGCCGTGAGTGGGCTGGGTGAACATGAGGAGGGCACCACGAACGAGCCATACGAAATGCCTTGGCGGTTTGTTGATTCTGCATGGCTTGTTCATTCGTTGGACCTTCTCACGGTCTACGGCGCTCTCGTGCTCGGTGGGTCAGTAGGCTAACGTCTGTCCCGGGACGCATAGGTTGGCAGGGAATTTGAGAGTGTCGAAGCATTGTGGTCACAATTCGAGGGGGTCATGGGGAAGAACCCGGATGAGGCGAAGACTGAAGGTGTGGGAGAGGGGGATGACACACGTATGGGTGGGTGAGGCCATGGGGGATTTATGAGCGGATATGTGATACAAGTAAATAAACGAATTAGGGGGGTTCTAATCTGTTTTTATTTTCTATTTTCTATTTTTATTTTTTACCACTGCTACGGTCTGAGAGGAAGGCGCGGATTGCCTTTGCAGATTCGTGGGCGGTTTTGAAGACTAATTATTTTGCAGTTAGCAGGTGGATTGGATGGGTGGATAGATGGACGGATGGGGAGAGGGGCACGTTGTCGTTCGTTCTCATCAAGGCCTTTCAAGAACTCGCCGCCGCTGCTGATGACGCCTTGCGGATTGTGCGCGTGGTCTGCTATTTCTGCCGCCCGCTTTTTGAATGTCTGTTATCGTCAGTCCCATCCCATCCCGTCCCGCCCTTATCCGGAGGTGAATTGACTACCTCGGAGAGAATATCAACCAACTCGTCCTCCTCCAACAATCCCAATATCCGCTCCCCAAGGGAGTAGTAATGCGACGCTAGAGATCTCAAGTCGACCGTGCAAGGATTCGCCTTGAGAGCATTCTGTACTCTGGGGGCTAACGCCGGTGGAAGGTCTAGTGATATGACATTCTGTTCTGTGCCTAGGCGTTGACTTACGCCGAGCATTTCCGCGAGCCAAAGGGGAAGCTCAACTCTTGTTCCTTGCTTGATCTATTTGGCTAATTAGGCGTTTTTTTTTCTCCATTTTTCCACTTTCGTTAGGGGAAAATAGGCGGAAGTGAGGAGAAGGGAAGAGGGGAGAGGGAGAGGGTGGTAGGTTTATGTACATCAATGTTTGAATTACCCTCCAAGTACCCCAGGCCTGGGATCGTGATCTCGAAGGTACACGGAACTTTCTGAAATTGTCAGCTAAAAGTTGCTTTTCTTTCTGTTTGTTTGTCTGTGCGCCTATCATTTCATAGGGCTTATCATAATCGGGGTATCAAAAGATAGCATACTTGGGCATCGGTGAGGATAGCATCGATATCGTAGTATGACATTGTGAAACGACGATTGTGGATGCTTCGTTTTGAGATGACCAGGGAGAGGGGTTTTTCTTTAAATAGATTTGCCTCCTTTTTCCGTTCCTCTCCCCCTCTCTGCAGCTGAAGGCGGGCGGTCTTCGGTGCGGGAGTCGTCCCCGTTAACTTAGTCCGGTGGTGAAAAAGGAGGGAGGGAGGGAGGGAAGAGGGAAGAGAACTCGTATATGTCACCGGGGAAAGAGAAAGAAGCACCGAACAGGAGCCGAATGGGGGTTCAACAACTGCGGAAGCATATCGAAGAGGAAAATCTTGGCTCGGATCATTGACTTTTGATTGGTTGTTCCTTCCTTCTCCAAGCTATCGGTGGCTCTTTTTGGTTTAAGACAGTTGTCGGGGCAACGGAGGTTACCTGGTTGTTTTGTTGTTAGTGGATCTGATAAACCCTGTTTGCTTCATGAATAAACTCCCTCCAACCCTTTCCTGATCCCCATATAATTTCCTAAACCCCAACTTCCCTACAAGCTACCTTTCTTACTCGCAAGTACCATTACTACCACCACCTCACCCTCCGAGCGCAGTGTCATCATAACAGGACAGTACGAAAAAGAAAAGGGAAAAGAGAGAGAGAAACACTGACTGTATTTTATTTAAATACCCTTTCACCCACCATTCATTCCACACCTGGTTTTCTTTTTTACCTATCCACGAAGTTACTCGTTGGTGCTAATATCAAACGAAGCTTGGAATTAGCTTCCCTCTGTGTTCGCGACACACAATTAGACCTACCCTTAAAAGCTTTCACAACCTGCTCTCCCAAGAAAAGGAACAATGAGTGTCTCTAGCTGGGCAAACGCGCATTCCAGGATGTAAGTACTACCACCACCAGTAACAAACTGGGCCACCCCTCGCCCACACATTGTTTCCTCCTTGTTCTCACCGTCATCACCGTCATCACCACCCCTCTCTACGAACACACACATACCTGTCCCCGTTCCATCTTTCACCGGAATTGTTATTACAAATTGCTAACAGTTTATCCTTTACTCTTCTTGGGGGCTTATTTGAAAATAAAGTGGAACTCCTGCCAGCATGATGTCGGATCCTTCTACAGTAAAATCAGTAAAATCCCGCTCGACGGGTATCACCACCCCTGGCGTAACTCCGGCATATTCCAAGAAGTTGGTTGTTGTTGGCGATGGTGGTTGCGGCAAGACTTGTCTGTTAATATCTTACTCGCAAGGCTACTTCCCTGAGGTTTGTCCAATATTGTTTCCCCTTGGAATAGCTCCCCGTCTCCTCCTTGTGCTAATGATGGTGATTGTTGCACGCGATGGAACAGAAATATGTTCCTACGGTGTTTGAGAATTACATTACACATAAGTTCCACGAGGGCAGTGGAAAGACGGTTGAGTTGGCGTTATGGGATACAGCTGGTCAGGAGGAGTACGACCGTCTGCGCCCGCTATCATATCCGGAGACGGATGTTCTGTTTGTCTGCTTTGCTATCGACTCTCCACATTCGCTCGAGAATGTCCTTGACAAGGTATGTTGGCTTCCCACGCTCTCCTCTTCAATTGGCTGGAATAGCTGGCTAATCAAGGCCGGACGAATAGTGGTATCCGGAGGTCCTTCACTTTTGTCCAACAACACCTCTCATCCTCGTTGGACTGAAAACAGACCTTCGCAAGAACCGGAATGTAATAGAGTTGTTGAAGACGCATGGCATGACTCCTGTCACACCGCAACAGGGAGAAGACGTCGCGAATCGCATGGGAGCCATGTATGCCGAGTGCAGCAGTAAAGAGATGACGGGCATACACGAAGTCTTTGACTTGGCGATGGACATGGCGGTCGGGGGATCCAAGGGGGGGAAAGGAGGAAAGCCCAAGAAAAAGAAGTGTACCATTCTATAGTTGCGGGCAGAATTGGGCCTTTTTTCCTTCCCTTCTTTCCTCCCTTCCCCCTTCTCCCTGACACTACCCGCAACATTTCCATTCGCAAAATCACCAGCGCTTCTTTCTAAGCCTCTATGTTGTCTTCTCGCTACTTCTATTTCCTCTTTTCGTTTTTTTTTTCATCGCCGTTTGTTCGATTCGCAATTTCCTTTGTCCGGGTTTGCGTTGTATTTTTCATTCACCCATTTTTTTTTGTTGTACGGGTTTCATGGATTCATGGCATGGAAATGATGGAGAAAGCCTTTTTTCTTTTTTTTCGACACTTCAACAAAAAGTTATGAAATCGCGGGACGAGTAGGTCGGCCGGTGGTTGGTTTTTGTGAACCTTTTTTTTTTAGCCCTTCCCAGAGAGAATGGAGGGAGGGATGGAGAAAGTCACTTTACTTTTCTTCTACATGTATCTTTGGAGTCCCGAGTCTTGTACTTGCCTGGCGTGGCGGAGGTTCTAATGGGAATGAACGCGTGAAGTGAGACCTATTCAACAGTCAGTCAGTCCAGTGAATTAAAACAGTGAACGAGTCAAGGCGGTACATGTATTCCCTCGGGACTCCTGAGGAGTGTAACGAATGGTCTGGCAGGTACGATAGAGTAGAAAGAGGGGGTTATTATGATAGGGGCGTTAGCTTGATATTTGGTTTAGTCTAATCCAGATCTATAGTTTATTTAGTGCCTTCCTAGACTTGACGTGATGCAGTGGGGTTCGCTGCGCGTGTTTCTCTCCCTGCGATACACCGTCCCATGAGCTTATATGATAACGTGGGGTTACGCGCAGCAGATCATGTTTATTTTTGCTCCATCCTGTTCCCGCGATTGGACCGGATCACAACAAATCACTGTGACTCGAGCGACGGAATGTTGCTGGGTCCCGAGTACTATGATAGTAGCACGAGTGCGGGTACTTGTACTAGTACCGGTACTGTGCCGGTAGGTGAGATTTTCTACAGGGTTCGGGGATTGGCGCGCGATTCAGGTATACGAAGGAAGGGACGGAAATGAAATTAAGGAATGTGCTGGCAGGAGGAGGTAGTGGTGAGACTGGGTTGTTAGTCTTTCTTTCTTTCTTTTCTGCCCGGGCAAGTGATGTAGGACAGGATTGGATTGGTGCGAGTGACTGTTTGTGACTGTTTAGATCAGGAGGGTGTGGTTGGTGTTGTATTAGTGGAAGAGAGTGTTAGAAAAGATGATGCGCGTCCAACACAAAATATCATTATGTTTCTCTTGCGTTACCCTCCTATGTTTGCTTGGTGGCTCTACTACTTCTGTTTCCCCTTTCCTTCCTCTCTCACTTTTTCTTCTTCCTCTGGACATAACAATTGATCAATGACTTCCTCTTCTCTGATTCCGCATATCCAGTGATACAGTAGTTCTAACAGAGAGCACGAGCACGGAGTGCTAGAATTTAGTGGGGCTCCCTGAACAGAATTGTACTCGCAGCTTAAACTTCAGCCTGGGTTTTTGTTGTATGATATGATATCGGTTCCACAGCATTCAAGGGTTGAATGGCGCGGGGACCATAATATGCTAAGTCGGCCGGGCAAGCCGCAGGCCGCAAGCCCGACAGAACCACTCAAGATCAAAAAACAGGCAGTGCAAAGACAGTTCAAACGAAGAAGGTGCAGCAGATCAGAGCGGATACTATACCGCTAAGAGAAATTCAACAAACAAAGGGCATATATTAATCGGTCCTAACCCTTCGATACAATAATTAACCACTAAACACAAGGAAGCAACGGATTCCAAACAAACCTTACGCAATCCCTAAACAATCTCCTGGCGAAGTAGCAAACCATACACATCACCACCGATGCTTAGAACCCCCCACCCTCAACTGTACAAGTAGATTTTGCCCCGCACTCACAAATTCGGTCTCCCAGCCAGAATGAGTCCACCATCTACTTCTGGGTCCTCTTTCGGAGATAGCGAGCCTTCCGATGATACAACCTCCCCAGCGGACACCACCGCTTCCCAAGCCTGAAACACAAGTCTCAAGTCCTCTAGACGCGGCCTCTGGCCCGGTGGCCGGAAACATGACTCCACAGTCCTCTTTACCCTGGATGGTATGTTCGCAGAGTTTATGGTGACCCTTCTATCCTTGCATTCACTGATGCACCTTTTCTTCTCGATGATGCACCAGAATATGCAGCCCATCATGTAGACCATCGCTTGCTCTTGCTCCTTGTCAGATGCGGAGCTCCAAAATGGAATAGGCCTTCGGTTGAGAGTGACACTGTCCGAGTTTTTCCGCGCGAGTATATTGGTTATAGATCTCTTATACTCGAATATATCCATGTGCGTTTCAAACACTTTAAGGCCTCCGCATCCAGCGCGGAAGGAGCATGGGTGAGGGGAACATACCATGCAGGTCTCTCCGGGATCTGGCCCGTGAATAAATACAAGCCTTGACCCGGAGGGCTCTGCATATACGGCCTCCTGACGCCAAGAGAGTATCTCTGGGGGAGTGTACTGCGCCCAAGAACCACCAGTTTCGAAGTCAATGAGAATGAGATCTCTGTTTTTTGAGAAAACTATGTTATCCGGCTTTAGATGTGCATAGAACCCCCAGCGTCCGTCCTTCTGCTTCGTGCAACGAATGTGGGCCATGGCAGACACCAAACCTGCGCACCACTTTGCCTTGTCACCAAGTGACACTTCCCCCCCAATGAGGGTAGACATGAGCGTTCCTCCGGGGTGATACTCAACAAGAAAACCGACGATGGGCATGTTTTCCTGTTCAAAATATTTCGAAGCCGTATCAAGTTTATGCATGCGAGAGATCATTGTGCTTTTGCTAACCAGCATGCGCTTGCGAATGATATTTGGGTGCGGGTCCAGTCTCACTATCGCTTCTATTTCCTGATAGAGCAGCTGAGGGTTCGCATTTGTCTTGAAAATGTAGCTCCCCGTCTCTTTGTCTAAAGACACAATAGCGACCGACTCGTTCAAATAAGCCCAGCATCTGAGCCTCTCAGAGGAGACAATCGAAGGGTTCGGGTCCGAAATCCCCCATGAATTGTAAAGAGCACTATGAGAGATTAGACCATTCTCAAACGAATGGTTTTGGAGGCAGTTTATCTTGTATCTCATAGATTTCGGACCTATCGGCATTACCTCGATGATACTAGACACCCATGGAAGATGCGTAAACTGCAGGAGAGCCTCCAGAGGGATGTCTAGTTGATCTAAGATATTCAGGATTTCACCATACAAATCTTTTTCTCTGGACGAAATCTCAGAGGTTATGAAACCTCCCGCACCATTGAACCGATATCCCTCCCGATCACCCTTAACCAGGCGGCTGGGGAAACGAAGCTTGATAAAGCTGGGGATAGGTATCAAACGGTGTAAAGCATATATGTCGTGATTATCGCGTCCATATATCGTCCAATCCCGGTTTTGAGGGTAGAAGAGGTACGGATTATGACGTGCCCCTATGATATCGGGGATATTAAACGGATTCATGGAGGGTATGATATTTAAAATATATGAAAGAATAATAGATGGGGTAGGGATTATTGTGGTCAAAAATGATATGGGCCGTTGGAAATGCAAAAATGCAAATGGGGTAGCAGATGAACGGAGAGAGCAACCGGATGTTTGCGGGGAGGAAAGTGGAGGGGTGATAATGATAATATTATTATTAATTATAATGGCATCATAATTATCATAGCTTGCGCGTACTGGTACCCTATTGCCCATGCAAACCAGTGGGTGGGGTCAAAAAGTGTGACCTCACCTAGTTAGGTCCATTGAAGCTGCCGTCTTCTTGTTGGTGGGGCATACCGCGATACCGCACGAGTACAAGTGAGTCCAAGTATCATAATATGATAGCCTATGATACCTGTACGTGTTTCCCGGCTATGATACGGGTATCATACTCGAGTATCATACTCGTGCAAGGGGTTTGATAAGAGCGAATCAAACTCGAGTGATTTTCATGATGCGATGCAATCCCTTCGCTTACTCCGCGAGTCGGTTGACGCGCCGACACGTCCCAAACACGGTCAGCTGATGACTGCGATATGATACTATATACCCTTCATTAAGAACGGCTAGAAGCATCGATTACCGATATCTATCCCTCCTCCCCCTACTATGTCAACAAAGAATGTCGGCCGCCCTAAATTCATCCCCAGCGGCCGCACAAAAATTTCTCGAGGCGCAAGCAAGAACGGTTAAAGAGAGATGCCCCGATAAATCCCTTAGCGATATCCGATTGGACCTGCTTTATACGGGGGACATACGGGCAACTCTTGAAAGAATCGTGGAAGGCCAGGTAAGGGGAAGCCTACTTGGTCGAGATTGGTTGATTGACCAATGGGGATAGTTTTTATATGGAACTACTCGAGATCCGCGGCGACCTAGTGTATTGCATCGAGTCACCGGCACGAACAGAGGAGCTAGCGATGGAATTCCTGTAATAGATCTATCCGAGGATACTCCCATCAAACTTCCATTAAGCCCCTCTGCCGCAAAGCGGAACCTAGACAAGGTCTACGAGGGAAAGGGAAGAGAAATAGCGGGGTAAGTTTCCCATTCCACAGCGTAGCGAACTTTTTTCTGACAAAGTTCATCAAGGGTTGTTTCAAGGTCGCCGCTTTTTAGAGGTTTGGCATCGGAAGACGATCTCGTAATATTACCCGATAATGCGCCCTCCCCATACAGAGCTCTCCCGTCCTTGAGAAGCCACACTCCTGAAATTGGGGGATCGCCCCTCTTACCGTTCTCATCAGCAGCGTTGTCCACACAATCTACGCCATTTTCAAATAGACATCTTAATCCCTACGCTACATCGCCTCTGCAAAGACCCAGTTCTCCAACACCCATGCCAATACCACTTCCGAGCTCAGCAATAACTCAAGCCTTCCGCAGAGAAACAAACTATTCTGCGTCTCCGGCACCTGGAAAGCAGGCGGCCCCCGAGAGTGATGGATCAGATCTGGAGATCATTGAACCGCCTCTATCAAAGTTTCCCCCCCTATCAAAGCGATCCAGCTCTGGGATCTCCAAGCCAGACTCGAATTCTAGCTCCAAACGTAACCCCAGCATCGGCACACCCAAGCCGCCCCTGAAAGCAAAGGATAATCCCAAAGAGAGCATCCTTGATCTAGTTTCTGATTCGGGCTCCGAGAATTCCCGAGACGGTCCTGGGGCATATATCTCAAAGAGTTATAGCGAAGATCTTCAAGAACTATTGAAGGCGGAGCAGGAAAAGAAAGGGAAACGCAAATCTATAGCAGCGGTAGCTGCAGAGGGCGCGGTACCAAAACGTCGGCGGAAAGTTAGCACTGAAGTAGTAGACGAGGACATCCCCACGAAACCCACAAAAAAGTCAACCCGTATAACAGAAGAGGAAAAAGCCCGCCGAGCGGTAGAAAAAGAAGAAGCTCGCGAAGCCAAGAGGCGCGAAAAGGAAGCCAAAGACGCAGAAAAAGAGCTCCAGAAGGTAGCCAGAAAGAAAGAAAGAGAAGCGAAGGAGCTGGAAAAAAAGCGAGAGCAAGACCTCTTATCCGCCAACAAACTCCGTAACTCAAGGAAGGACTCCATACCAGAGATAATCGCCGACATCTCCATGTCCCTGGCGGACACTCCCACAGGCGAACAGCTACAGCGCTTTTTACTGGAACTTGGATGTAAAGTGAACCCGACCTGGGCGCCATCACTTCCCGGTAACTTGAAGCTGGTGAAGTGGCGACGAAGGGTGAAAGCCGATTTCAACGAAGATCTGGGGATGTTTGTTCCGCTGGAGAACGAGCAGATCCGGGATGAGAACCACATACTCATCTGCCTGACTGCTAAAGAATTCACTGACACAGCCCTCCCCGTAACGGCCAGTGGGTTATCATCACACGCCCAGAGGATAAAATCTGCCTTTCCGACTCCTCCGATGGCGAAGAAGCCTACCAGGTTAATATACCTGATAGAAGGCCTGCAAACTCTCATCCGAAAACATAGAAACCTGCAAAACCGTGCATACCAGAACCGAGTTCTCAGTCACCTCCCTAGCGCCCCGAATGCTCCCAGTGCTTCCATAGCCCTTAGCACGGACGATGATGCATCAATTAACGAAGACAATGTTGAAGATGCCCTGCTAGACTTACAGATCACACACAACTGCCTAATCCACCACACCTCCTCACCCGTAGAAACCGCAGAATGGATAACCATCTTTACTGGGGACATTTCCACAATTCCATACAGGTACCCCCCCGCCTTTCACAACCGCCGCAGTAGAAGAGGAGCTAACACAAAATAGACACAGCAGGGCCCACCTCGACACTTCCTTCTGCGCCGACGTCGGGCAGGTGAAACCCGGCCTGGGCAAGCGCGATACCTACCGTAAAATGCTGCAGGAGATCACGCGAATCACACCGGGAATTTCCGCAGCCATTGCGAAAGAGTACCCCGACGTGCGCAGGCTAGTTAGCGCAATTGAGCATGGGGGTGGGGAGGTTTTGGCGGGTATTGAGGTATGTTTGCTGTTACTAGAATGCGAGGGGAGGTGAAGTGCTAATTAATGTGGGGTTAGAACTCAAGTACTAGGAATGGATTGCAGAGTAGTAGGACTGTCGGCGCGGCTTGTAGTCGGAGGGTTGCGGGGGTGTTTTTTGGGAGGGATCCGTCGGGGGTTGATGTTTAGTGGTTCTCCGTTTTCGTTTTCGGGATGTATGTAGATGGTGTTTTGGAGCTTGGGCTGGAGGGGGTAGGTAATTGGAGTTTTGAATATCATACCTTTAATGGCCTTTTATTTTGCATCTTTTGTTGGGGTGCAAATTTGCTATTGCCTGGGTTTATAGATCTATCACTTGTTTGCATAATCGGTGTTCCCACTGCATGGTGTTGCGTCTACCTGCTGTAGGAATGTGTATGTACCTTGGGGAACGCGTATGCATTCCTACAAATAGATGCTTTCCATACCTGTTTGCGGGTTCGCAGGCACCGCTTGCTTCCTTAAACGGGGTGTTTCTTCTCCCTTCTCTGAGATTATTACTCTCTGCTTTGCTTCAAAATTAGTCAATCAACATCTTCGAAACACAGATTGTATGATACCATATTTATAGTTCGAGCAGTTCAGAAGGTGCTACCAGTTACATAATATTTCAAATTCTACGACCACTTCAACCATCCAACTAACCAAGGGGGGAAAAAAAAACCAAGTAATAAAAAGGATGAGAATAATAGCACCTGTTTTTTTTTTTGATTAGTTGGGTTGTTGTAGTGGTCGTAGAATTTGAAATATTATGTAACTGGTGCACGTTTTGAACCGCTCGAACTATAGAAACTTTTATATCGTAGTGTGGTCAATGGATACGCAGCCAACTATGAATGTCATCGATGCCATTGCCCCGTGATGATATCCCACCGAGTGACCAGGCGTGAACCCTTCCTTCTACGCAACCTCCCTCTTAAACACTATCGCTCGGACCAAGTCTGGGACATTTTGTTTCCTTTTTTTGGGAGGAAGAAAAGAAGTAACCCTCTCTGAAATTGACACCCCCTCCCGTTAAGTTAAGCAGTATATACACATTTTTACATTTACCCCTCCCTTCCCACCCATTCGTCAACATCATCCCACTTGTACCACTCCCTCCCCCATCCATATCCCTATATAATTCCCATCACCTATCGACCAGGCATATGAAAAAAAAAACCAGAAAAAAAGAAATTCAACCCTAGACAAAGTAAACAATCCCCAACATATCCAGCCAGCAAACCAATAAATCGGAATATGAGGCAGAACTATCGACAGGAAATAATCGTATGTAGGAAAAAGAAAGGAAAGAAAAAAAGGTGATGGAAATATGAGAGATAACGCCCCAGTAACTATAAAACCAAAGAGAGAAGTCTTTTGTCCCAGTGCTGGTATGTGAAGATTAGGAGCGTAATGTAACCTAGAAGGTGGGTAGAAAGAATATCACAAGAATGGAAGAGAAATGCACAGATGGAGAAGGAAGGAGGTAGGAAATGTCACGGGGAACAGCGAAAGGAAGAAGGCCGAAAAGAGAAGAAAAAAACCTAAGGAAGAAGAAAAATAGTTATAAAAAAGAAGTTAAAGCTAAAGATTTCCGCTAAGTTAATAAGAGCTTTCCTACAAATAAACCTGCCAGCCGGCCCCAACCACAATCAGTCCATCAGAATAGACTATCAGACCACAAAGCATAACTAGGAAAATGAAGGTGGAAGAAAGCAAATAACGAAAACCAGTTGCGTAAGAGAAAAAAAGAGCAGTAGACCGATATATCAAGCAGAGAGAAGTGGGTATGAATAAGTTAGTAAGGATACCCACAGATATAACAAAGCAAGTGATTGAAAGATATAGTGAGCTTTGTTTTATACTCCCGCTTATCATAGCTTTTTTCTTTTTTTTTTTTGCTTCATACTTTTTTTTATAATTGTTTTTTTTTTTGTTAGAAAGAGATAGATGGAATAAACGGATTCCATGGGAGGTAGGAGGAGGTTAAGTTTGGAGTTGGTTTTGAAGATCACCATCAACCACCTGGGGGGTATTGGGCGCGGTTTCTATCGCAGAGACGCTGCTCATCATAAGGACGGGGTCGATTCTACCATCGTGTTGGTGATGGATGGTGATGGTGTTAGAAATTTCGTGAGTAGGGGTGGTATCGGAACGGTGATGGGTAGGAGGGGTATCAGGAGTATTGGTTATGGTAGAGGCATCGTGGTGGGGAAGTTGATCGTGCTGCTGCTGAAGATGATTGTGTTGTTGAAGCTGATCAGCGGCAACCATATCGACTCCCATTCCCATATCTGCCATTGGAGCGACAGAGCCTTGGTGGGATTCCTCCTGGGAAGAGCTGCCTTCCCCTGACCCTCCGGCCGCTGCCGCCACAACCTGGTTCATATCGATTGTCTGACTCAGGTGAGTCATATTGCGAGCCTGTCCGAGAGCCGTAACAGCAGCGACGTGAGCGGCGTCTTCAGAGGCGCTTGCAGCGGTGGCCTTTTTGGCCGCGTGTTTGGCTGCTTGACCGGGAGCGCGTGTCTTGAGTTCGCCTGTAACAAACTGGAGATAATAAGGGACTTCAATGTTCGACTTTAAAAAGAATAGCTTGAGGTTTCTAGCTTTATCCTTTAGTTGGACTTGGTTGCGATCCTTAAGAACTTCATTAACTGTTCCGCCAGGACCAAACATTGCGAGGATCTGCGACCAATGTGGGCCTTTAACACGGTCGAGGCCGGCCATGAGCGCGTTCTCCTCCTCAGTAGTCCAGGGCCGGCGTTGAGATGGGAGGCCTGCACGGCGAGCATTAGGCGAGGCCTTTGCGGTTGCGGCCATGCGGGCGCGCTCGTAAAGGACCTGGGTAGGTGCGCTCTGGGGTGGTGACGGTTGGGGGGGAGGGGCCCCGAGTGACATTGCAATGCTAGTGTTGGTGCCAAAGAGCTCGTTTTCGAGAGCCAGTTGGGCGGCCGACACTTCTCCACCATTTGGAGTTTCAGACTTAGAGCGCGGAAGGGGACTGCTGTTCCTTTCTTCTAGCCCATGAGACACGGAACGCCTGCCCCCAAGCGGGGACCCCGTGCGACCGAAAGTAGGCGTTCGAACATTAGAAAGAGAAGGCGATTTACGCTTTCTAATACGACGAATCTGCTCAGAGATTTAGATATTATTTTCCTCCGGGAGAGGGAATTTGAACTTACCGGCTGAGCGACAATGGACTCATAATTCTTGCTAACATACCAACTAACCTCTTTCAAGAATTCCTGCCAGACATACTTTTCGCTCAAATTCACGTCATCAGGTATCATCATCAAGTGCTGTTTCCTCTGAGCCAACCTATGAACGAAATCGAGTTCGCTGGGTGTCAATTGCTTGGCTCCGGGCTTTCGGTTCAGAAGGATAGAGTTCATGTCATCTGGGAACAAATCAAGCAAGATATCCTCCTTGCCGCGTTCGTTGGTGGACATCGCAGAAATATAGGCCTGAGTTTTGAGATCCAAATACAAAGCACCTTGAGACTTCAAAAGCCTGCCACCGTCGGGAACGAACGTGTCGAGGAAATGCTCGTTAAGGTGAAAAAATCCAACTTCTTGGGATCCGAAAACCGAGGAAACAAAAGTGGCCAGGTTGACCCTACGGATAGTCGCGCGCTGCTCGGGCTGTTCGAACTTGAGTTCATCAGCTGAGAGAAACGCCTCATGGGTGTAGAGCTTCTTTGTATGGTCGAATAAAGTCTTCATAGTATTGTAGGCTTGGCCCTGGTCGGACTCTGGTTGGGTAACGATGTTTAAAGTTTCTTGGTACGGCCCTTTGCCCAAAGTGCTCAGAATTTGAGAAGACTATATATAGAAGATTAGGCTCTGTAGTAAAAACTAAAATACTAAGCGAAAGGGCGGGTTCACCAAGTTATCAAGAATAGGCAAGCTATGAATCCGAAGATTACGGTTTGCGTCCCACATTAAAAAAGAGTTATGATCGTACTGGTCCCAGGAGGCTGGTCCCGAATGGCTCTCCTGCTCTTCGTCGCTCATAAACTCTTGGTCCATTCCGTCGTCTTCAGTCTCCTGGGCTAAAACGTTCTGGTGATCATTCTGAACGACGGGTGTCTGCGGTTGCGGCGCATATTGGTTAACGGCATCACTTCCACCGGTGAAGTTGGAGACTGTCATCGAGAGATTTTGCCCATTGACTTCATCTTGGCTAAGATCGGCCTGGACAATATGAGAACCAAGAGTTTGCGAGACTGCCGCCAAATCCTCCATATGTTGACGTTTGACGGCAATGTCGTCTAGGACATCCTCGGGGATCTCAGAATCCGCCTGGCGTTTCCCCCACCTATGCGGAGAGGAATCGATATCAGGAAAAGCAGCATTAAATGCGGCAACTGCTTGAAGCGGGGCCTGTAGAGCTGGATCTACTGCACCCTGTGAATTATCAAGGCCTATGATGGGACGTATTAGTAGAGGCAGAAAGGAAAGGGGAAAAAAAGGAAAATTATTAAGAAAAGAAACTCACGGTTAATCGCAGAGAAGCCACCAACTCTGTCATTAGGGAGTGGGTGGTCCTCATTGTGCTCGTTGTTTGGTGGTTGTTGGATATCTGATGTTGGCTCAGACATTGCAGGAGTCTCGTGTGTAAGGTAGGAAAAAGTCAATTCTTGCCCTCTAATCGAGCCCGAAGCCCTGTGTCCAGGTGGAGAGGGTTAGCAACCAACTTGGCGAGGGGAGGCAGAAGTGGAGGGTTAATCTCACATTTGCTGCTTTTAATCAGTGCTTGGCTCCCTGTGACAAGAAACCTGATTGGCTAAATGTTAGGCGAAACTGTTTTAGGAAGATTATCGACTTTTAGTGCGAGAATTTCCGAGTGCGACAAAGGAGGATTGATTAGTAAGGAGAGTGTGGGATGAGGGTCCTTGGAGTCAGGAATCGGGTTGTGAGTTGTGAGTTGCGAGCGAGTAAAGTCCCAGAGAGAGGGGTGAGTGAAGAGTTGGGCTCTGGGTTGAGTGTTGAGATGAGGGAAGAAAGAAAGAGGAAAGGTCGGGTCCGGTGCTGGTGAATTTTATGACCTCCACTGACCCCAAAAATCAAAGTTTGCGCTAGATGGACTGGTCACAAAATAAGGTCAGGACCCTTACTTAGTGGCTTGCTAAATACGGTGTCATAAGCCAATTCTGGTTTCCCGATTAAGATCCTTGGCATTAACCCTTGCTCACAACCACGTGAAGTCGCTCGATGTAACATTTCTGACCCTTTATATCGCATGGTATGAAAAAATATCAGGCGTTAAATTTTGACGCAGAATTTGGTTATTAGAGTGTTTTCCATTTACTCAATACATCAAGGGGGCTGCAAAAGTGATTTGGATTGCTGTGACCTCTGTTTTGCGGTATGATATGTGAAAAACCTGTTATTGCCATGCGGCTCTGTTATCGCCAAGATCCCATGCAATTTCGTTGCTCCGGCAACTGGGGCTATCAGTCCCACACAAACAGTTACACGACCTCAGTCAGCCCTCTAGGTCCATGATCCTGTTTGCTGAGACGACATCCCTCACCCCGCCTGCAGTTATAGTAATTATCAACAACGCGTCTTTACTTCGGGTTCATAAACACACACTCCGCCCGTTTGTTTGCTATCATTATTTTCGCCCTCTAGAAACGGCCGATCCTCTATATAGATGTTTCCAACGACCACACGCTAGCAGACAAGTTTTTTTCATTCCCTCTCATACTCACTTATAAACTTTCATTTTAATATATTCTAGGTATTTTTTTTTCTGGGGTAGATGGTGAGAGAGAAACATAAAACTAACGGGAACTGACATCGCAGGCGCAATAAAGAATGACTGATCAGTGGGTTGATAGTCTTTCTGAAGATTGGGTTTCTCAACCACGCTCCTCCCCTTCAAATGCTGGCGGTGGTGTTGTTGGGGGAACGATGCGTTCAAACTTCTCCTCGGGAACTACTCGTGTGCTGCATGAACGCAACCATTCGAGTGTAAACTCGACAACGGGTCACTGGCGGCGAAATTCAACAGGAGGCAACGAGCGGAAGGAGACACCTGAATGGAAGAGAAAATTGTTAGAGGACTTTGGGGGACCTGGGGGGAAGGATTTATTCAGCCCTATTCAATTGGAGTCCATGTTTCAACCACCTCCCAGTCATAGTTCAAGTGTTATCGAGGAGCAAGACCAGCAACTACAACAGAAGTCGAAGAAACCAGGAAATAGATCTCTGATCCCGATCCCTACAAACACTTTATTTGGAGTTGGTTTATCAGTTCTGCGGGAGGAGGATAGTCGGCAGCGAATTAATTTTCTCAAGGATCCCAGTTCTCCTCATCGTAAGAATTCTTCGGCTTTGCCTAAGCCCAAGAAAATATCTATGCTTAAGCAAGGTATGCACAGGAGGGGATCGTCAACGCCGTCCCTAGTATCAGACGATGTTTCCATGATGAAGGGAAAGCGGAAAACAGGAAATTACGCCGGTATTGAAAACGATGTTCGAAGTCGGACTGTGTTGCCTGGGGACGCCAAGTCTGGAGATATTGACAAAGTCGAGTCGAAGATTTTTGGAACTTGCCTAGGAAATACGAGTGAAGAGATGAAGAAAGATGAAAGCATTAGTCCGGTTTTCACAGGGCGCCTAGGGTCTCTGAAGGGTAAAATTGGGCTGGGGTCGACACCAGTGAGAAATAGAGATTGCGTCGCGGGGCAGGAGTCGCAAATATTACCGATAAGCTGTCATGATAACGAAGCGCCGGAGATGGACGATACTTTGGGAGAGATGATGTCGAGTACTGGTGCATCTAAGGGAAGGAAACCCTTCTTACCCGACGAGAACGATACTTCGGTATATCCTTCGAGCCCACCTGTAGTGGCACACACGTGTTCAGAAACTAGTCAGTTCGGAGAAAGCGAGCTGGAGGGCGAAGAAGATTATACATTTGATGGGAGTGAAAATGACTCAGAAAAGAGCGCCGGAGATTTAGGCTCACCTTTCGCATCGCCTATTAAAGCATGCCCTCAACATCAAAGTCAGGAGGAGGAGGGGGAGAAAACGTTGGCTTCTCCGTTCGTCTCTAACATTGAGCCATCATCTCATGGAAGCACTACTGGTGGTTTCTTAGGCGAAGCTCAATCTGCAGATGGTCATGGTATAGGTGGAAATACCATTTTGGATAACATTCGACGACACAAAAATGCGCCCAAATCTCCTCTAAAGAACGCACTTAGCTCCTCCGTGATCGCCGATGAGGACGATCCGTTTATCTCGTCTTATCCTTCCGAACATCATATCTTGCCGGCACCTCGCACCCCACCTATCAAGGCAGGGGAGGTAAGAATCATGGGCGATAGTAAATCTTCCGGCAGCCCATTAAAGTTGTTCCATAGCAATTATGATACATACACCAATGAAAAACTCGTTAAGCGTCTTGGAGAATTAGAGGACAATGTTGCTGAGAAACCAAAATTTGTATTACCCCAGGTGGCAGTTAGCCAGGACGAACACGAGGACAGCTGGCAGGAAGAGGGGAGTACCGAGTTTTCTGGTGGGAGTATAGTTGTCAACAGGTTAGAGGCCATGGCGAGGAGACAAGAGAAGGAGAAGTCACCTTCAAGAAATGCGAAGAGGGATGTTGCTTATACTAAAGCTGTCATCAAGTCGCACAGACAAATCAGAACCACGACCACAACCACAACCACTACTACTGCGTTGGCTCACCATCGTCATACTTCAGCTCCGGAATCAGCGGCGAAGCGTGTCACTGGCGTTACGGAGGAGTCACTAGTAGAAGGAGGTAGAAAACACCGCAGATGGAAAAGCGATGAGAGTGCCACTGTTAATGATGGTATTTTAGCGCCTATTAGTCCAGTCAAAGAAAGAACACCAAAGAGACTTAGACGGAGCAATAGCGGTGGATATGGCTACGTTGATGGGCCCAAGGCGGGAAGACTTCTTTCGGCTGGGTGTACACCCGGGCGAACGCGCCGAATATCACCTGAAGTTGAAGAGGGAAGTCTGTTGTTGAGTTCCAGTCGACCTAGGAGCAGGGCTTCTCGTACCCCTGGGCACGAACAGCTTTCCAGAACCCCAGCATCAAAATCAGGGAGGAGAATTGCGACTAGTCAAGAGGTTCCCACACCAAGCTCGAGGGATAGATTGCCGAAGGTCCCAGTTCTGGAGAAAGATTACAACTATGGTGCTTCGAACAGTGCGGATTTTTCGCTAGCCAATGGAAGCCCGCTAAAGGGGAAAAGTTGCAGGTTAGTCTTCTGCGGAAGCAGGGGCGATCCCATGGAAGATAAGGGGTTTGGGATGCCACAACCGAGGGAATCCGAGACCTTAAGGAAAGGAAGTGTCACAACGCAGGACTTTCTCTTACAAGCTGAAGAAGTGATGGACAGAATCAGGGGTATGGGGCTGCGGTCTAGACAGAGCAACTTGAAAAACCCTGGGGCTGGGGGTGGCGAGGGTGAGAGTTTTAACAGTGGATACAGCACGGACTCGCAGATACAGAGAAATTCACCAACTCGAAATTCTAAAATGGTAGGATCAAGCAGTCCACAGGCCGGCGGAACGGAAGATAGTTTTTTCCGCGAAGTCTCTCATATCGTCACCTCCAAGAATCCGTTGGACCCTCATAGTGATTCCAGGGATATACATCACGACACTTTGAACACTCAATCTTCGATTAGCAGTCAGGGATCCAATTCTTCAGTAGAAGTCATTACACCCGGCTTACACGTGAACCATCCCCTAGCCTTGAAGGGCTCTGCAGAAATGACTTTCGATCAAAAGTCTATGGCATGGGTCGGGTCTCGGACCCCGGATGGGGGGGTTTCCGACTCCGATCCATTTCTGGGAATATCGGATCTGAGTGTGAATTCCCAGGAGGAAGCACAGGCTCTGGAGATGGCAAGGAAGCAATGGGAAGGCATGACAAGTGATGAGGAGAAGAGTGGTGTCTGGAGAAGCTCGAGGTTGATCCTGGACGTGGAAGATGATTGTGATGCGGATTTGACTGGTGATGGGACAGAGATCTGGGAAAGCCGACCCTGGTTTGGTGGTGAGAACATAAGCACCGTTGGCACTGGAAGTGGTAAAAGCCGATCTGCGGGAACCGGAACAGAAACTAGAGTGACTAGTTTTGGAAGCCACGAAAGCAAGCCTGCTATTATAAGCGGAGATCCCACTGCATCCGGCAGCAATGAGAGGAATGTACCAGGGAAAAAGGTGGATGGGGAAGGCAAGAATGGCAAGGAAGAAAGGAGTATTCGCAGCGAAGAAGAGTTACCACGGCCCACGGAACTAGGTTTAGACGATCAGTGCAGGGTCCCGGAGCCCATCCGGCGAAGGCAGGTCTCCTATGCTGAAGATTATTCTTCTCCCACGACTGCATCCATGATGAGACAATCAACTTCTTCGCCGAAGGAGGTCCCTGAATCCTGGGATGATGGCGATGACAGCTGCTTAGATGCCGGCGTCGATGGCTTTCTTGATCATGGTTCACTACGGCAAACGCGACGGAGTTCAAGGATATTTTCATCCGGTGGTACCTACCGAGGGGCCGCTAGGCGGCGTTCGGGTGGGAACAAGTCTTTTGTTGGAAGACCAATTTCAAGAATTAAGGAGGAAGATGAGGAAACCGTTGGGGTGGAAGATATTTCGCGGTCTCTCCGTAGGATAAGCTTGAGCAGCTCGCTGACACCCCTGCCTACACATTTTGCGACCTATGTTTCGAGCCTTCCTCCATCAACGGTCAAAAAGACAGATGTATCATTTCATATGACGCCACTGGCAGATATCTCATATCACTATGAAACCACCGAAGCTCTGATCAATCTCGAACTCTCGTTCCTTGCGACCCGTAGGGGGCCTAAAGCTAGCGCTAAGTCAATTGAAGCAAGCTTCTCGATTGCCCAGGAAAACCTCATTAAAACCCTTACAGATGTGGAGCCGTATGAGCCATATTGGGAGTGGATGAAGTTCTTAAAGCTTGCTGATAGGAAGATGGAAACGCTACATACTCTCAACGAATGGTGCCAGAGAATAGAGGAACTAGACGTTAGTAATAACCAGCTTGGTCAACTCTCAGGGGTTCCGGAAAACGTAAAGGATCTAAAGGCGGCGAGTAACTGCTTGAGTTCGATCACCCACTTTGGACATCTTTTCAATCTGCAGTATTTGGATATTTCGAGAAATGGTCTAGAAAACTTAGATGGGCTCAGGAACCTGAAACATCTAAGAGAGCTCAAGGTAGATGAAAACTCTTTGGAGAGCCTTGAGGGTGTTCTGAATATGGACGGATTGGCGTCGTTGAGGGCTAGGAGAAATAAGTTGACAACTGTGTCGTTTGAGAAGGCTTCCATGTAGGTTCTGTTTTTGTTCTTGGGGTTTTCCTATTTTGGATATAGATTGACTCGTGGCATCTTCCAGGAAACGTCTCACCGAGTTGGACTTGAGAGGTAACAACATGGAGGCGATCTCAGGACTTGACAACCTACCTGCTTTGATTCACCTTAATCTAGATCAAAATAAGCTATGTGGTCTGAATATTCCTAATGGGGTCCGACTCAATTCTTTACGTTCGATAAAACTCACACAGAATTACTTCGAAACTTTCGATGTTTCGCAGTACCCAAATCTTCGAATCCTCTATATAGATAATAATCGCCTCAAAGATATTAGCGGTCTTAGCCGAGCGAAACAATTAGACAGCATTTCGACAAGGGAGCAGGACGTAAAAGAATTCACTATCCAATATGAGAGGATGTTCGAGGCCCGAAAGATCTACCTTTCAGGAAACCCTCTCCGGGATCTGAGCTTCAGATTAGACTTCTTGAATTTACAGTATCTGGAACTTGCGTCAGCCCAGCTGACCAGCCTTCCAGAGAATTTCGGGTATCTTGTGTGCAATACAAGAGTCTTGAATCTTAATAACAATGCAATTTCGGACCTAAGGCCGCTTTTAGGAGTCGTAAGATTAAAGAAGCTGCTGCTTGTGGGTAATAGGGTCAAAAGTGTGAAGAAAGCGGGTGCTGTGCTTGCGCATTTCCAGTCGCTAAGCTATCTCGATCTAAGGTAGGGACGCCATCTGACCCCTTCCCCTTCCATGTTTTTAGTCTATGTCTTGGGATTTTATATAATCACTCCGTGCCTCAACCACGCTTCAGATATCCTGCACCATTGAATCTATTGGCATGGCCGCTGACATCCACCTTTACTATCGTTCCAGAATGAACCCTCTCACAATAGGTTTCTATCCTGCTTCGTCCTCTCGCAGGTCGCTCTCTTCGCCGGAAGATCCTGACGAATACATAAAGGATCCTTTTACCATGGTGCCGGGCGACACTGCAAGTGATCGCACCTTCCAAGCGCAGATGGATCTTGAGTCAGCAGTTACAAGAAGGAGGTACGAGATTACGATTGGCCAAAAGTGCCCTAGGATGAAAGAGTTGGATGGTTTAGAGTTCCGGGTGGGGGAGCTGTGGAGGGAGGACCACGTTCTGGAGGAACTCAAAAATCGGGACTTAGTTAGAACGGGGGATAGAGGCAATTAGGGCGAGTAGTATTGCGAACGGCTGCGGTGTGGTGTTGGTTGTGTGGCGAGAGGTCAATCAATTAACCGGTACGGTGACGATACCGTGCGGCGAGTGTCGTTAAAGGATAAGCAAGGGTTTTTAGTCGAATAGAAGACCAAGGATGCCGGGGAGAGTTCAGGGTGTGTTAGTATTTACTCTGGTACAACCCGGTGATATGGGGTACATAGAGACACCACATGATAGAGCGGATAGGAGCATTACGACATGCTCGGACGGAGGATATGTTAGGGCTTCCCTGTCCCCCAATTTTGGCAAGTTTCCGCATCGTTCCAGTCGAGACCATAACCCCTCAGCGGGTAATATTTTGAGACCCTTTTTGTATTATTATTATTATTATGGATACTGTTTCGATTTTTCTGTGGAGGGGTACTGGATTTTCTTTCTTTCTTTAACGTTTGGGGTGGATGGGGTTGGGTAGCACTTGACAGACGGAGTTTTGGGCCTGCTTAACGAAAGCCTTTGATGTTTATTACTGCTGACATTTTTCTTATATTTTTTTTTCTACTACTGTACTGTACCATCGCACCACTTCCCTTTTTTCCCTCTGATTTCCTGGCAGCGGCGCTCCAGTGCCGGCATCCCGCTATGCTTAACGTCCTTGACAGGTTTCTTTGCCTTTTTCCTTCAGTGTCGTGATGCACGAGTACTATTTAACCTCAAAACTACAGTATTTCTTATGTCCCCAGTTGTTTTTAAAACCTTTTTTTTTCTCCCCCTTTGTGGTTGCAGTAGAGTCTTGACATATAATACCCTGGCTGGTTTAAAGATGAATAAGCACATTCCTGGCTCATAAAAGAAATTCTATGCCGAGTAATGGTGTATTTTCCCATGGGAGTTCGTGTTTTAGAGAGTGGAGATATGTCGAGCTTCATCATCAAGTGGGTTTTAGATGGCCAACTTGCAATGATTGGGAGCTGGTTATACAAGCCTTGGAGACGACCTTTTTAGTGGGTAGCATATGAGGGGTATTGTGGACAGGAGGGTGCTACTGGGGAATAGCCAAGTTGGGCGCACAATATTCTTATCCGCAACGCTGGAGCTGCTAGCTTTAGGGGGCGTTTGGCTGCGTTGTTATGATTTAAAATCGCGGCTTGAAATTATTATTGGGCAGCCAAGCACCCCCCCTTAACTGCTTATTTGAAAACCTAAATCGTCTTTCTTTTACTTAGTATGACAAGTTTACACCAAGTTACTACATTGTACCGCATTATATTGCATCCTACCGTGCGCTACATAAACTTCCCCTTCGAACCTGGGTTGTTACCGGGTCACAGAGAGCTATTCTGATTTGTGCTTGGGAAGACACGGGTGTGTCACATGTGGTCGGATTGGACTTGTACAGTATGATAGTAATTTTTTGCTTTTTTGTTTGGTATGATACCTTTTGAGTCGTCGTGGACGTTAAGCCCTGTGATGGCATAACCAGAAGGCAGCCATATCTACAACATTTCAGTATCATAATTATCATACTTTGGCCCGCTGATGCCGTAGCTAGGGCGTTAGGGCTTGAAATACCGAGAGGTAACGGATTTGCGCATTTGATCATTGTGAATCTTATCGGTGTGTGCTGGACACCTGTGAGTTCCGGAATTGTGTGATATGATGCGCTGGTGGCTAATTGAAAGAAAAGTCTTATCAATAGCATGGGTTCGGCACCCCCGGTTCTGACAGTTGTGCATTGTACTATATTTCCGTGCACGGGGAGGCTTGAGGGGTGGATAAGGCCCAGGTTTCGAGAATATATGGTAGAGCCGTATATAGAGTATCTCCCTCGAGAAGCGCTATGGAAGGGGGTTCCGGGGGGGGGAGGTTGTGGAGGCTGTGTACTGGCCCAGATGGGCGAGTGATTGCGGTGATTGCTCTTGCGTTTCCAATGGTGTAGGGCGTGTTTGTCGTACCCTATGAGCTGTCTGCTATCTCGGATCATGATGTGCCAAACAGACCCTTAACTTAGTATGTCGTTACCTCCCCCACCAAAGCCGAAATATCAATAGTACTACTTGTAACATGGGGTATGATAAGGTCTACCGATCTACATGATTGTAGGGCAAATCTTCCTCAAACGTTGGGCAGCGGTAGTGGGACAAAGGAGTCGGAATCGCCTTCCTCACCAATATTTCCTAATCGGGGGGCCTGGAGAGAGTGGGCGGAAGCGGAGTCAGGCTTAGGGAGGTAGGGAAGGACGTGGGGTGGTTTTTCTCCATCCTTCTCTCTTTCTAGATTGGGGGGGGGGGAGCTGGTGAGGGGAGGCATGATAATGGGCGTTTTCATTTTGTATATTTACGGATTCGTTTTTCTTTTTCTTCTTTTATCTTTTTATGCCTTTGCTTTTGCACTGGCTAGCGAATGGCCTGAAATGGACACCTGTATGACAGCAGTCCAGCTTATCCGAACAAAGAATGGATTTCCCACAATATGTACATCTTTCCCTCAATCGAAGGAGCGCATTGCCAAACCTAACTTTTGAAGATGGCACAGCGTCACTCCAACTCACTCGCCCATGTACTGTACACCCCACCACGCCCCAAGCGCTAGCCCCGAACCAACCACGGCAACCCACTTCCCCTCCCAAGACATCCACTCTCACCACCGTGCCCAACCAAAAACAGCCTAAACCCACCGCCTGAGCACATATCCATATCCAGCGCCCACACTGTAACCTATTTACCTACCTACCTACCGCTCCCGTTATTGCGGATCACCGTTCCAAATCTCGGAGGCGAAAGAATTCCCAGCACAGTACAGTACTGTACCTGCTTACTGCGGGTGTTTCAGGGGTTATGGATCGGTCCGGAGGGGGTGTTATACTGTAGTATTTTCAAGCGGGCGGTCAGTAGGTCGATCGACCGAGGGGGGAATTTGTCCGAAGTGCGGGATGGGGGTTGCCAAGAGGGGGTATACATCCGTGCTTTTTTAATGCGGGGACGGGGTGAAGATAAATTTTTTTTTTAAGTTCTGACTCGCGTCGGCTTAGGATTTGACTGTAAATTACTGTACTGTACAGTACCACCATAACTCTATCCAAGCGCCTATGATACTAGTGCCGTGCCTGTGCGATGCTGCTTACTCATGCACTGTATTGTAACAGGCTGGTTGGGTGCGCGCGGTGGGAGGGTAAACTACTCGTACTGCACTCGCTTCCAAGTTTGGGAATCGCGGATGGTGTACTTGTACGGGGGTAGGAGGAAGTGATTGGCTGTGCGTAATTTCCAGGCCAATATATCGTGCTCTGTTGTGTATCGTAGATTGCCGGAGGCGGGATCTCCTGATATGGCTGGCGAACGGAGGTTGTGTTGTGTTGTACTGTACTGTACTCTACGCTAAAGTCCCGATGCCGGTAGAGGTTTTCCCGAGCGATGATTTTGAAACTAGGCTTTGAGGGGAGAAAAAAAAGCATTGAAAATTGAAAATTTACCCGGCATGTTAAAAGTATGCCGCATATTTATCTCGGTCCTTTTTGTAGGGAGTTCGTATGATACAGAACTGTGGGCACATGAACCGGGTAAGGTCCGTCGCAATGTATCTTTCCCTGGTCTTGATACCACAGCAGCCTGGAGGACGTTCCACACACCTCACTACGGCACTCTAGGAGAATGGAAGGCACACTTTTTATGCTGGTGCCATTATTATTATTATTATTATTATTATTATTATTATTATTATTTTACCCCTTCTTGTTTTCTTCTATGCTGTCCCAGCCATAGGGGTTGGGTAATGGTAACTCGGGGGCCTTCGCTTCCGGTGTATTTTGGCCCTCTGTCTGGTTACGATACCCTATCGAACGACCTCTACCGTATTGGTCCCGGACTCCGAGTGATCAGTCATGAAGTGCCACGATCGAGACCATCCGGTTGTGGTAGGAATCTGGAATACGGTAGCGGTGCAAAGTAATAGGAGGGGGGAATGGACATTGGTTGTATAGGAATTTAGTTCGGTACAGCATCGTGGTGACCTAGTGGAGTTCTGTTTGATAGGGGGAGTGGGGAGGAGGACTTGTGCTTAGAAATTGATTCCCCTCGTTATATCACTAAAGGCTCGTTGGCAAGTAGGGACTTGAGCACTAGCCAGCTCAAGGTATATGTCGAAATCTATGACATATCACTCCAGCGCCATACACAACTCCGGCGCAAAATTCCAGGAGAACGTATTCAGCAACCCATCGGCACTGAAGAGCGACGACACGGTAACAACAGCCGGGCACTCGACAGAAGGTGGAGCTGTGCTTCATTGCCGGCTACAGTACCGGTGCAAGGTCTGTCACTTGACGATAACCGTTACTCGAGCATAACACACTACCGGTACTCGAGTGCAGCATCTAGACTGGTTGGAGTCAAACTAAGCGTTGCCCCTCAACGTGCGAGCGAGAGTAAGACCCTTCAGGAAGCTCCTTCCCGGGAAAAGGTGGAAACCTTGTTAGAAATGATTAGCACAGGGGGGCACAACCTTCTTTAAATTTACAAATCCCACTCTCTCTTACTGAGTCACACCTCACTCGACTGTTCTATCCTATTTCCGGTTTGATTGGAAAATGTTTTGCGTTGGTTTTCATGTGTTCGGCAAGGAGCTCACGCACTAAATTTAAGATTGACTCTTGCTCATCGGCAATACCCAGTCTCCGAACCGCTAGTCCGATCTCGGCATAGTTTTGAGAACCGATTATAATAAACGGTGGGCTAGAACCCTCTATCATCATACCGGTACTCGAGTGCCCGAGTACTCGTACTCGTACCGGTACCGGCATCTCTCTACAACCGGATGCTTGTCGTTGTTCCCCTCGGGTCGGGTACGGCAATGGCCCGGATATGACAAACGACTAGTAGTAATCACTTTTATTTTATTCCTGATATCCTCCTGTTCCGGGCGTGCATATTATTCACCCGCCCCCGCCGAGCGAGATGGAACTTCTTTAGGGCGGTGAGATGACCAGACTACGTCATTGTGTTATCGGAACGAGGGAT